TGATCCCTGGTATTGCAAAGGAAGATGTGGTGCTTCCCAAACTGGGGTCTGTATACCATCTGCTTCAGAAGCACTTGGGCTATTTCCAGAAATGCAGATTCCTGGGCCCCAGAGACCAGGATCTCTGATGTGTGCACCTGGAATCTACATGATCTCCAAGCTCCCTAGGTTATTCCAGCCCCCAGTAAAACTAGAGAAGAGATTGGATTGCTTAGACAGAACAGGGTCAGTTTTGGATAGAGCCATTTACTTCCTCTGTGATCTTGGGTTTTTGACTTGACCCCTCTGATCCCTCCTTCAACTTTGAGTTGACCCATCATCTTTAAGATGGAGCTCCTAATGCCAGCCTCATAGAGGTAATATGAAGATTTAATGGAATAAATGAATCATTTAATTTGCGTTTGCTGCTTAATATGAGTTCCTTTCCTCTTCTTTTGCCACCACACTGCACTCAATAACATTGTCCAGGTATCAGTGACTTCATCTTACATCCTTCTTCCTAAGATCCTCCTCACTCTCTCCTTGCCCTGTTATTCTCTTTGGGAGCCTGCTCTCATGAGTAGGAGCCAAATGTGTGATGATTTTAAAATCCATCCTCTCCATTCAGAACATGCTGCCTATATTATGTATACTTAGGAGGCCTGTTCTGGAGAGTTGATCATATCACAAATTAATCCAGCAGGATGTGTTAATGGACAAGAATAATGTGTTAAAACAATCCCTGGCAGTTCATAAATTAACTGGGTATTTCAATTATGATGCTGCAATCAAAAGATAACCAATCATGGGAAATGCAAACCTAGGAGAGAGAGATGTTCATTTAATGGCTATCACCTGGTTACAAAGTCCTGTTTGGTGGGCTTCCATGTAGACCTGGCCCAGGAATATCACCCACTGTTCCAGAGGTAACTGCAGGATAGCAGACTGGTTCTAGCTTCCAAAACAGCCCATGGACTCTTCTTACCAGTGTGGTCCTCCTAGGAAATGGGCCTTAGAAACGGGTTCATGGAGATGTTACTATAAACTTCCATTGCTCAGGGTATCAACTTATGCAATTCACTATGATGAAAGCCCATGGAATCTGTGAGCCACTGTGTCTCCTCAGCCAGCGAGGAGTGAAGCAGGCATGTGCATCATACAAAACAAGCATGGCATCCTATTTGGCTGTCACGGTCTGGCCTTAGACTCTGAGGTTTCCAGGGGCCAGAATGACACTGAGAGCCATTTTCTGTGTATGGAAGCAACTGCCCACCTCACCGTGCTCACTGGTTGGCCCTAGGGATGTCTGAAAACTACCTCAAAGCCACCGTGACTTCCTTTTTCTTCCCAGATCCTGCCAGACATTTCTGAAGGGTGATTTTTGTGAGACAGACATTCAAACCTCCTCAGTCAGTTTTAGTCTTTTTTTTTCTTTTTTTATCCTCACCAGAGGACATTTTTTTTCGATATTTTGTTCAGATAGAGTGGGAGGGAGAGAGAGGAAGAGAGAGAGAGAAACATCGACGTGAAAGGGACACATCGAGTGGCTGCCACCCGCACAACCGACCAGGGCCGGGGACAAACTGCAACCGAGGTACATGCCCTTAGCGGGGACTGAACCCGGGTCTCTCAGGACCGCAGGCCGACGCTCTAACCGCTGAGCCAAACCGGCCAGGGCAGTTTTAGTGTATGTGTATATATATATATATATATATATATATATATATATATATATATATCACCATTGAAAATTCCCGACAAACATGTTAGAAATTAATTACAACCTGAAATTAGAGTAACCTTAAAGGCAGCGCACCAGGTCTTAACTCACTTGCTTAAAAATTGAGATAAGGAGCCCTGGCCCATGTGGGTCGATGGTTAGAGCATTGGCCTGTGCACCAAAGGGTCGCAGGTTTGATTCCTGATCAAGGGCAGGTACCTGGGTTGCAGGTTCAATCCCCAAGCCTGGGCACGTGGGGGAGTCAACCTATCCATGTGTCTATCTGACATCAATGTTTCTTTCTTTCTCTCCCTCCCCCACTGCATTCCTTTCTCCCTACCACTCTTTCTTTTTTTTTTTAATCCTCACAGAGGAAATTTTTGTATTTATCTGCAGTTAGAGTGGGAGGGAGAGAGGGGGAAAGAGAGAGAGAGAAACATTGATGTGAGAGAGACACACTGACTGGCTGCCTCCCACACGACCCCAATCAGGGCCAGGGACAAACTGCAACCAAGGTATGTGCCCTTAGCGGGAACCAAACCTGGGACTCTCTGGTCTGCAGGCTGATGCTCTTACCGCTGAGCCAAACCGGCCAGGGCTCGCTCTTAAAATCAATGGGAAAAATATCCTCAGGTGAATATTAACAGCAACACAACAACAACAAAATTTGTGATAAGGAGAAAGAATGCAAATTTGAATGTGACGAGAGTCTGGCCAGCACCACTCAGGGAAGGTTTCACTGAGACCATTATAGAAGCTCATGCTCACTGAAGCAGCTGGGGATTTATTCTGTGTGTGTGGGAAAGAGATCAGTTTTAAACCAACATGCACCAAAACCGCTGCTTCCAAACAGAAGAATCCACCTGCCCCAACAGCTTTCTCTTCATTCTCGGGCATTACATGAGATTCGCCATGGTTGTCTCAAGCCAAAAAAGGAAACGGGAGGGGGAGGGGGGGAGGCCGACCAAGATGGAAAAGATATGAAATCTAAAACAGTGTGATACTGTCCTATTGTCATTTCATTGTCCCCAGCATGGATGGTCCCTATGTCACCATGACTTTTTCCACACAGTCTCATTATGAGTTTGAGACTTTTTCTGTGTCTTCCCCTTCATTGTTAGTTGGTTGGTTGCTTGGTCTCATGTTCTCCATCATGCCATTAACTTAGTGAAACAGATTAATTTTCGGTCCTGGTGTTCTCCAAAGCACATGTCCTTCTGAGTTCCCCACCACTGCATTCTTTAGTCATTTCCTTCCCACACTGCTATTTGTATTCAGAAGATACAGATAATTCCCAGTATTCCTTAGGGTCAAGGGCTCAATCTTCCATCAGATGCAACTGGTGGCACGTCCCATTAGTAACTACTCCTGGGGCCTGGCACCCAAAGCTCCAAGGAGTGAGCCATTCCCACAGCCTGTCTAGTAAACCTGCCCCATCACCAGTGTTCCCTGCTCACTTCAGCACGTGCAGAAGAGGTGGAGGACACACAGAACTTTATCCCCAGCCCCGCATAAAAATTGTGTCATAAATACCTTGCAGGATATGAAAGCTGGTTCTCCCCTTCACTAGGATGAGAAGGAAGAAGTAAATAAAGAGCCTGTCTTGCCCCAACTCTTGTAGCTCAGTTGGTTGAGTATTGTTCCATGCACCAAGAGGTCACTGGTTCAATTCCCCATCAGGGCAAATGCCTGGGTTGTGGGTTCGATCCCAAGTAGGGGGGTGGGTGCTTGGAGGCAGCCAGTCAGTGTTTCTCTCTCTTTCTCCTTCGCCCTGCCTCCCTCTAAAATTAACAAAAACATATATTTTTAAAAAATAGCCTGTCTTATGGGGCTAAGGGGACAGCCTCACAAAAAAGAAGTGTGTCCTTGCTATCCCTGTTACAGTTTCATTGGAAACTGGGGAACAAGAGGCCCGGGTTCTCCAGTCACATCTTCTTTATTCCCTGACCACATTTAAGAGACCATCTAGACCTAAGAGTGTCCAGACAGATAGAGCTGGAAGTAGATGTGAGGATGGGGCCAGGAGAACCTGACTCCTCCTCCCTCTCCTCTACAGATGGCAGACACGTGCTTTGCCTGTTTATCAGCTACATTTGGCCTGCCTAATGTCTCCCTTGTCTTGGACCCTAAAAATGCCCAAGTCGTGCTGAAGTGCAGAATCTATCTGAGGAAGGAGAACGCACCCTGGCCAGGTTCAGGATCGAAAGGGGCTAGGAGCCAAGCCTGAATGGTGGAGTGGGATTTATGGAGAATCAGGAGTCTGTTCCAGAGTAGAGCCAACCAAAAACGAGTCAGAGGAGGAGCAGAACATTTGGAGCTTTGCAGGTGACATTCACATTCACCTGGTAGCCTGAGTTAGTGGCTTTTGATCTGAGCCATCTATGAATGGCTCCAGTTGTACAGAACTCCATACAAGGCCCTCAGAAGGTTAGAAGAGTGACTTGTCAAAATTACAAAGGATTTAAAACTAAAATCATCTGTTTGTGTGCTTTTGGTTGTTTTCTACAACAAACCACTGTATCTGTAGCCTCATGTCAAAATCCACTGTGGTTTCTAAGTTGCATTATTTTCAGTTTCCCTTCCTCTTGATGCATTTCAGAAGATGTTTAAGTTGTCTTTAAGTGCTTTATGGTTTATAAATTGCCAAAATATCATAAACTTCATGTTCTTTAAAGGAAGAAAATTTGTGATGCCCCAAAGCCATTTTTCTATGTCACTATCTTTGTTTTCACTGAAGAAGGAAGGCATCTCTTAAGTACAGGAGCTGACTCTGGCAACTTAATCATCTCTCCATTCGAGAGGTTAATTTGGGAATTCATGACCTTTGGTAATTGATTGCATGTCTTTTGGAAATAATTCATACATTATGTATTTACAACCTTACTCAAAGTTAAACTTTTGGCATTTCTGTCTGAGGAAAATACATTATCTCCGAACTAATGAACTAGTGTGAATTTCAAAACAGTTGAAAGTATGTGTGACTTCAGAATGTCTTGGTGAAAGTCTTTAAACCTCAGTTTTCCCTCCCCTATTCTTCCCAAATGTAAAGGAAGCCATATCATTGTCATCCCTGCCTGATAACCATAAATACATACATGCTCTTGGGTCCTCTTTTAGAGTTTACCATCAAAACCATCTAATGTTGATGGATCAAGGTTGCAGATACTTATAAATATACAGTATTAGTTAACAAAGACCATTGGATGAGGCAATTTTACTTTGGGCACAGTACCTTGCAATACAGATAAAAATATTTGTCTCAGTCAGCTCGGGATACTATAATAAAATACCATAAACTGGGTGGCTTAAACAACAAACATTTATTTCTTGCAGTTTTGGAGGATGGAAGTCTCAGGTCAGGGTGCCGAAACGGTCTAGTTCTGGGGAGGATCCTCTTCTGGGTTGCAGACTGTTGACTTCTCTCTGTATCCACATGTGGTGGGAAGACAGCAAGCTAGTACTTTGGCTTCTTCTTATACAGGCACTAATCCTATCATGAAGACTCCACTTTTAGGACCGTATCACCTCCCAAAGGCCCCTCTCCTAATACCAGCACATTGAGGGTTAGGATTTGAACATATGAATTTTGGGGGGAGCAAACAAAAAGTCCATATAATATTTAAGTGGGTAAATTATTATCAAAGGTAAACAGCATCATTTTGTATGAAAACAGATCACTTTTTTTTTCCATTTGTAAATAGACTATGCCCATCGATGGTGAAGATGTTTCTCACTATTTCCCCATGAAACCCAGCAATAGGCCCAAGGGAAAAGAGCTAGTGGTATTTTGACAGGCAGCCAACACTCTGCACAGAAGGGGGTGCTGGATGACACTGAAGTAATTAATTGAGGAGTTAACTAGGTTTTTATGTCATTGATTAACTCTGGTACAATCTGATGTTATATGAATAGAACTCGAGCATTTTTTACCCTATTTACATACAAACCAGTACTTCTTAAGGGTGGAAGTGTAGTGCTTAATTTCATGATGCATATATGTTTAATAATCACAATTACAGAAGAATCAGAGTCCCATCTCCCAATAGGATTTTATACAGGAGCAGAAGGTAGAGACTCAAGTGCCAATGGACGCAGAGAGATAAGAAAGATGACTCAATGCATTATATAAATCCCATTTTCTACTCCTTTGTCATATACTGATGATGTCTTTCAGATGTTGGCAAGCTCAAGTACTGGAAACTTGAAAGCACTCTTGGTGAGACATCTTTGAGAAAATCTAGGTAACCAAGCTTCTCCCTCATAAGTTAGGAAGTCAGATTTTGCAAAGAAGAGCTAGACTGTCTCTTTGAACACCCGGCTATAGGTCACATGATTGTCTGTGGCCAGGGCATTTTTCAGACACTGCCAAAAGTATGGGTGAGCCTGTGGGTTTGTTGGCCACTCAAGGACAGAACTTCCACAGAGCCTCTTCCGGAGCTGGAGGAACTTGGACTTCTGAAGGGGCTTCTCAAGGAATATCAAGATAATTACATCTACTTTTTCATCCATGAGCCTCTGATGGGACAAGTAAAATGCAATCTTAAAATTCTCAGTCTTTGCGTACTTTTCTGTCATCACAAACACCGTCTTTTTGCTAAGCTGTATGCTCTGGGACAGGTTTTCCAGAACTGGCTGCCCTGGTAACCAGTCCCTTTCCTCAAGACATAAATTAAAATGTTTCTCTCTTGGGTCTTCCAATTTGGCCACCAGCTCATCCAAAACCCATTCTGTCACTGCTGGGTCTTTAGTGTCATACACAATAAAAGCATCATAGCAAGAGTCTGGGGATATCAGACGTTGATACCCCTGTATTTTGGCCTTACAGAAATGGTAACTATACCACACGTCCCAGAAATACAGGTGGCTCACTGTCACAACTACCATCAGAAAGAGAGCGGCCGATATGGAGAGAGAGAACAGAATCAAGTTAGTTAGATCTAATTCACATGTATATAGATCCAGAGAGACCACACTCTGGCCCTTGTGTGCTCCTGGCCCCACACAAGTCACATCTGTAGCCAAGTGAGGAATAGTCACCTCTGTATGGTTAACCCACCAGACAAACCACACAGCATCACAGGTGCACAAAAAACGATTACGATGCAAAAGCAACATCTCCAATTTGTTGAGGACGTTTTCTGGAAAGCTAGTCTTTTGGATAATCTGGATTTTATTTGAGCTGAGGTCCAGATATCGCAACTGGAAAGCATCTTGTAGAAAATACTTTGTCAGACGCCTGATTTGATTATTGTGAAGAATTAGTTTCTTGAGGTTCCTGGAACAGTTGGATAATCTCTCAGGGACAGTTTTCAGCTGGTTGTAGCTGAGGTCCAAAGTCTCTAGATTCTTCAGATACTGAAGTCTCCCCCAATTAAAAGATTTGAGCCCATTTTTGGCCAAAAAGAGAGTCTTTAGATGTGCAGGCATACCATCAAAAACTCCAGAAGGCAAGAAAGTCAGGGAATTTGCAGAGATGTCTAATTCCTCTAAGTTTGTCAAATTCTTGAAGAAATTGAAATATCTGTCATCACCATCTCTCCATAGAACATTCAAATGATTTCCTCTGAATTCCAGAGTTCTAAGAGATTCACTCTCCATGGTCCTGCTAGTGGAGGTAGAGATGTCATTGTCATTCATCATCAGTTTCTTGAGAAACTTTAGATTCTTGGTAAAGTTTAGCATGTGAGTAATTCCTTCTGATAGAAAATAATGGTTGTTACTACTTATATCCAGAACTTCCAGATTGCGTAGCCCCTCAAATGCTGTTGAGTAGAGTAAATCGAGCCGGTTGTTAGAGATGTCCAAATATTTCAACTCTGCTAAATACTGAAATTCACTGCCATTAAGAGTTTGACCAATGCTATTTCCTGACAAGTTTAGGCATTGGAGGAAATAAAGATGCTGAAAATCAGAGGGCTGGATAAAAAATATATTATTTTTACTTAGGTCCAAGGTCTGCCCATACATGTAACACTCTTCATTAAAAAGCGAGGAAGGAGGGTCTTTGGTTTTGAATCGGCAACTCCTTGCATCTTCATCATAGCTGAAATAATGTGATGCTCCAGAGATCTGGAGCCCATAAGGTCCTACAGAAGTTCTGGTGTTAGAGCAGAAGCCAACTTCACTTGGCTCTCCTGAAGGTGATATTTTATTCATGGAAAGATCTATCACTTTCAATGTTTTAAACTGTTTAAATATGCTGAGGTCAGCAATTTTTATAAAGTTAGTGCCAAGATCAAGAACTTCAAGATTGGTAAGATTATGTAATGGGGAGAGGTCAAAGAAATTCAGCTCCTTAAAGACATATCCTTTGATCCGCAACACTTTCAGGTTTTTCAGTGAAGAAAATGCATCTGACAGTTTCATATGTGCACGGTAGACCTGAAGTTCATAATTGAAAGACAGATCCAATTGGACAAGGTTGTGGAGAAGATACAAAAATTTGGCATCCCCAATTTCTTTGGCCAAGAAGTTTTGGGAAAGATCTAGTTCCTTAAGTTTGTTAAGGTTTTTAAACCACCTTTGGGGTACATATTGAAGAGAGTTACTGTGTAGATGTAAAACTTGTAATTCTGTCAACGCATCAAAAGCATTTACATGGATCTGTAGGGGAGAATTATTTTCACAGGGTATACAAGGAAATGGGGCATTATAACAACGAGGGCAGTTTCCACTTAGGTCAAGAATCTGCAGTTGATTGAGGTTACTAAAATCATCCTCTTGAATTTTTGCAATGATGTTGTTGTAAAGATAGAGTTCTATTAAAGTAGGTGGCAAAATAGTGGGGACAGCTGTGATATTGTTATCTTTTAGGGAGAGCAATTTTAAATTCAGTAGCTTTTTGAAAGCATCTTTTTCAATGTAAAATGAAACATTACAAGGATTGCGATAATAGCAGTTCTGGCCCAAGTAGAGTTTTTCTATGTTGGTCAGTTCTGTTAGATTACTTGTGTTGATGGAAAAGATGTTGTTGGCCTCAAGACTCAGCAGCTGTAAGCTGGAAGGAAGACCCAGTGGTATTTCTAGAAGCTGGTTTCCATCTAGGTAAAGGGATTTTAAATAAGTGAGTCCACTAAAACTTCTGGGTTTGATCTGCAGCCTCTTGGTACAAATGTTGTCTTTTGGCCCCAGTCGAATAGGCACACAGTTGCATCTGAAATCAATCTCTACCAGCTGCTCCAGCTGGTGGAAGGAGGCTGGAGAGATACTTGGTATATGGTTAATGGTGAGAGTGAGGTTGGTCGTGTTGGTGGGAATACCTTCAGGAATTTCTGTCAAATGTTTGTCTGTGCAGTCCACAATCACTTGGGTGTTGGAATCATTCAGACTGACATCACAGGGCAGAGTTTTAGGAAACCATCTAGCCCCAAGTTTGGAAATAAAGATAATGTTTAAAAGGATAAAAAATCGTCTCTTCAATGTCCACATTGGAAACACCTGAAAGTTTAAAAAAGAACAAATCACCATTCCAAAATATAATAAGAATCATAATTGAACATTCCCATTTGTGGCCTCCCTTTTGCCACATTTTAAAATAAACAACTCAGCCTTAGCTAGTGTGGCTCAGTTGGTTGAGCCTCATCTCAGTCAAGGGCACATACCCAGGTTGCAGGCTCAATCCCCAGTAAGGGATGTGTAGGAGGCAACCGATGAATGTTTCTCTCTCCTTCTCCCTTCCTGTCTATCTAAAATAAACAAACTATTCTTTAAAATAATAATAATACATCTGTAATACTTTCAACAATGATAATAATAATAATAAACAAAATAAACAACTCAGATATTTTCTCAACAGTCTAAACAGCACCCCCAACCATGTCTGTACTTGTCAATCACTAAAGTTCATAATAATGGACATTATTTAGCTTTTTAGTTTTTCAGTTACATAGCTTTTAAGGTGTTAGAAGCAGCCTTTTTATATTCACTATGATCTAAGTACTACAATGGAAGATAAATCAATCAGCTGCCAAAGTCTGAAATTTGAGGGGTGAAGAAATGTTAAAATGCAAATACATCTGGGAAGAAAAACACATTAAAACTTTAATGGGGCCCTGAATAGGTAATTATAAGTTGGTTAGAGCGTCATCCCAATATGCCAACTTTGTGAGTTCAGTCTCCGTTTGGGGGACATACAAGAAGCAATCAATGAATGCATAGAAAATAAGTAGAACAATAAATATCTCTCTCCTCACCCCCATTCATCCCTCTCTCTCTAAAATTAATAAACAAAAAAAGACTTTAGTGTAATCTATGTTTGCTTGCTAAGCCTGCTCTGGTACAAATTTTAAGAACCTTTCACAGTATTCAACCCTCTTAATATTTATAGGTATGGAAACAAAGGAGATTCACTAGCCTCATTTTACTGATTAAGACATAGCTCAGCCATATTAGCTCGTTTGCCCAAGGTCACCCAACTACTGCCTTTTGACACTGCCATTCTATACCATAGCTGGCTTTCCTCTTGGATTAAAACAAAAATTTTTTAAATCCTCACCCAGGGATATGGTCTTATTGATTTTTAGAGAGAGAGGAAAGGGGGGGGAGAGAAACATTAATGTGAGAGAAACATCTATTGGTTGCCTCCCGCATAAGCCGTGACCAGGGATCCAACATGCAACCCAGGTATGTGCTCTGACTGGGAATCGAATCCGTAAACATTTGATGTATGGGCTGATGCTCCAACCAACTAAGTAACCCAGCCAGGGGTCCTCTTGGACTTTTTTTGCAAATCATCTCCAAGATGATTCTGGGATGAACATTTTCCCTACACATTGAGTTTACATTACATAAATCTGGAAAGGAGCAGAGAGCCAGTGAACTGCCTGGGTGACCCCTAACTGCTCGAATACTTATGCAAGTGAAAGAAGGGGAAGCTGTTAATAACTATGCCAAGACTATAGGCATAAATCAAGACTCTTTCAGGAAAACTGGAACATTTGGGAATCTACCCTTAATGGGGATTCTTGGGCATTGGGGTTTAACACAATAGAGACACTTAGATCCTGGGGAGAAAGACCTTAAAAAGGAATATGGGAAGCACTGAAGAACTTTACTAATTACCATATTACCTGGACATTGACCTGCCTTTGAAGGTGGTTGAACCAAGGACTTGCTCTCAAGTTTTAGGATTTCTATCAATATTTTACTTCAGAATACTGGTTTTAGTTTAATTGGTGCTTATCTGTAGAATGATCCAGTCTGTGTTTCTATAACAGGTTTCTAGCTCAACTAATGTTTTATCCTCCCAGTTGACTTAATCAACGAATCATGTTCATATCTAATAAACCAAATACCTATTTCCCTTAATTCCTCTAACAGGAGGTAAATCAGCAAATTTCCCCTCAGCTTTCTTTTTCTCTAATGCAAGATGATTCAGACGGATCTCAAAGAGCTTCTTCAAACATCTTTACATGTCTAAAGTTTATTGGAATTAAAGGTACAATGTTGTCTTTTTTCTCTCTTTCACCACCCTGTCTCTTCCTCCTCATCAACAAAACCATTCACTGAGTCCAATTGACCTTCACCGTCATTCTTGACATCCTCCTTGCTTTGCAACTGAAACAATTTCTACTGAGATGATTCTACCCTTGGTCCACTTCAAAGCCTCATTCTAGTCCACAGGCTCTTACTCTTCCAATCCACCCAGTGATTGAGCTTTCCAAACATTAATCAGAATATATTTGCTCTCAAATCTTTAATACGGTTTTCTTTTTTCCAAATTGACCCCTAACTTTTTATCATGGCATCCAAAGTCTTCCATAATTTGTTCCCTATCAATCTAGGCTTACCTGATTTTACTCCCCTACAGCTCCTCTGATCACTAAATCCAAGCCCAGTTTACAGTCCCCTGAGTCACAAATCTCTCCATTAGAAATATTCTTTCCTACCATTTCTACCCACCCAAATTCTAGTTATACTTTAAGAGTATACTTCTTAATCTGAGCTCTCAGATCCCTGGGAAGAAACAGAAATTGACCAGAGGATACAAGATGCCCTTAGACAAATATGGTATATCTTCCTTGAGCATCACAGATTTAGGAAAAATATTCACCACTTACCGAGGAGGAATAAAGTAAAGATGGGCGAAGGGCTTTAGAATAGGGAAAGGAAAGAAGTAGAGTAGAGTGTGGTCCTGATAATAAGATCTGACACCAGCTATGCTTCTATCAGAAGACATAATGGGTTCATGAATCCCACCATCAGAGGGCAATAAGTAATATGGCTAACAGTGATGTTGAAGATAGGGATGTGAGGTATTACAGAAAGGGCCAAAATGGATAACAAAACAAATCCTGAACCAGATGCCCTCTTCCAATCTCATTCCCATGAACCTAGATGACATCCTGGGAAGAAGTGGGAGGATCCCTGAATTAACTGAATTAAAAATTTGAAGTGATGTAGACAGTGATAATCAAACTGAGTTTTCCAGGATATGCCTAGTTGAAGTATTTTTGTTATCAGAAGAATTGGAGGCTTTATGATGAAGGAAGTTGAGTCATAGAAAAAAAATAACAGTGGTGTGGTGGTAAATGTTTGACAACTGACTTTCTTTCTCCCCACAACACCCATTCTTTGATTTGCTAAGTCCTGATTTGTGGTGCTTGCCAACTCCTATAGTGTAAATACTCACACCATGGCCATTTCAAGCCGGCTTTGTGATGCACTGAATGCAGAGTTAGGCAGTGATGTGCAGAATTGCTCTGGCAAGCCTATGTGACCTGGGTACAACAAACCACTGACCATAACACACCTGAGACAGACTGTGACATTTTTAGACTCTACGAATGGACACATTATAAATCAGAATGAAAAATAATATGAGAGTGTTTTTTCTCCTTTCTTTCTAAACTTTTTCTTGCACCTTTCCACTCTTATCCTCATCCACTACCACCTCCCTACTCTAATTGGCCATTAAGTCTCACCTGGACTACTGCACTAGACTACAAACTGGCCTGCCTCCCTTATTCCCCTTCTCCACAGTTCACTCAATAAACAGCATCAGAGCATTCTTTGTAAACATGACTCAGATAAAGTACAATGACTTCCTATTACACGTTGAATAAAATTCAAAGTCTTTACCATGGCTTCTATCATGAATGTCCTGACTCCAGCCTACCTCTCTGATCTTGAACCCTCTTTCTCTTTCTTTGACTGTGCATCAGACATCTGGCCTGTTTTCTGTTCTGCATTTAAACCAGTGGTAGGACTTGCTGTTCCCTCTTCCTGAAATTATCATTCTCTTCCTTTTCCCACAGCCAGGTCGTTATCATCTTTTATGTGTCTGCTTCAGTGACACATCCTCAGAGAGGCTTTCTTTGGCCAAGTTATTGAAATTCTTCCCCTCTCCATATAATAGTGATCATGACAGTAACATTTGTTAACTTAGGTAGCACTTACTACATGCTGGGAGTCATTTTCAGTGCTTTACATATGTTAACTCATTTAATCATCATCATAACCACATGAGGTGGTACTAAAGGCCCTCAATCCTTATTCCCCAAAATTTGGTGCTATATGTGTTTTGGAATTCAGAATTTTTCAGATTTTAAAAGGTAATATGATGCATGTACCCCATATTATGTAATACTCCTACTGGGGCCTAGGGCAGCATTACCTAATCAAACACATAATTTGTTTAGGGAAGCACACAATTGCCACTTGAAGTGGGAGGAGAGAGAGAGAGAGAGAAAGGAAGGAAGGAAGGGAGGGAGGGAGGGAGGGAGGAAGGAAGGAAGGAAGGAAGGAAGGAAGGAAGGAAGGAAGGAAGGAAGGAAGGAAGAAGAGAGAGAGAAAGAAAGAAAGAAAGAAAGAAAGAAAGAAAGAAAGAAAGAAAGAAAGAAAGAAAGAAAGAAAGAAAGAAAGAAAGAAAGAAAGAAAGAAAGAAGGAAAGAAGGAAAAGAAGGAAAGAAGGAAAGAAGGAAAGAAAGAAAGAGAACTTTAGTTCAGGTCAAGATTCGCCTTCAAATGACTTCAGATCATGCTGTGTTTGCCATCAACTGAGTTAGGATACAGCTTTCAGTTTGAGGATGTTGGAATCACAGACCTCTATCATTATCTCCATTTTACAGATGAGTTAACTGAGGCATAGAGAGGTATATGTACTCTGTACTTGACTGACCTGCTTGATTTCCTTCATAGCCCTTAGCACACTCAGGAATTAACTTGCTGATAAATGATGTGCTTATGATTTATGTGCTTATTTCTTTAATGTCCATTCTGCATGAGAATGTAAGTTGAGAGAGAGAGAGAGAAAGAGAGAGAGAGAGTAGGGCTGTGCATATCCTTGTGTGAAACAATACCTAGCAATTAACTAGTGCTCCATTATGTGTGCCAAATTCATGAGTAAATGAATAGTGAAATAAAGCAAAATACTTCAAAGAAAGTTCTACTTGAAGTAGGTTCCTTCAAGCTATACCCCCAGACTCTCCAGGGTCATG